CTCAAATATACCGCACTTTGTTTTAAACTATTGATTTCCCTGTTCGTTCTAAAGACCAGGTACCCAGCAAGTAATAGAATTCAGGTTTCACTGATTGGACACTGATATTTTGGATAATAGTTCTAGGAAGTTTTATTTATACACTTTTAGTTTCAAGAAGCGACCTGATTTCAGGAAAAAAAGGTTGACAAACGAAAGTAGTGGGCAAGAAGAATATCCAAACCTTCATTGTTAAGTTTCAGCACTGAAACCAACTTTTAATGCAACAGTTGCACTAAATGATGTAAAGTTAACACAACTTTTTAAGTAATGAAGTAGCTCTTTCCAATGACTCGAGCTGAAACTGTACAATACAGTCAACTAAATACCGTTCTTCTGTGGTGCAAAACCTTAAAGGATTTGACCTAGCTAGCATTCGTAACAAAACGTAAAACAGAAATATGTTACAAAATAAGCAAGCTTAGGTACAATGAAACATTGGCAACTGTGATTTAATGAAGATGAACGAAATATGGCACTTATCTTGAATCACAGTGATGGCGGAAATGAGACACACCTAGTCATTTGCGCCTAGAGGTGATTGGTTATCACAATCAATAATTGGCAATTTAAATGGACAACTGATATAACATCATTTGAAATGAGCATAGAAATCAGATATTACAATTAATCCTCACTACTTCAAAGAATCCAATGAAGTTATTTGATTTGCTGGCTGGTTAGTGGCACCTCCATCAGAACAACTCATCCTGTACCCTTCATGATCAGGAATTATTCATTCTTCACCTACTGACCCCACAGTAATGTAGGTGGGCTGTGTTTGAAAATTCTAAAAATCAAAGAGTTATTACAAAAGAACAGTCCAAGTGTAATGGTTTTCTGTCGAACTTAGCTTGGCAGATTTCAAGACAGTAAACCTTCTCTTGATAAGTTTCATCCACCGTTCAATGAAAGATTTGATGCTCTATGTGGTGGTGATGTGATTCATATGTGCACCTCCCTCATAACACACACAGTTTTCTTAAGCAGGCTAGGTTCACGGGCTACCTTATGATTCAGTGTGAATGGTGTTCGTAGCATTTTTTCCGATAGTTGTGCCTCGTAGATAACTTGTAGCCCGTACTTCTTTAAATAGTTTGTTTTTTCAAGATATAAGAAGGACTCTAGATTCCATCCCTAGATAGCTTCGGAGTTTTTAATCGCCTTACACAGTGATTTCAGACAGTACATCGATATCCATTCTCGAATATCTTTTTCAGAGACTGTATAAACCGATTGATTTCTTTGCTCTCGCTTCTTGTTGTTTCGATCCTGTTCCAACTGCTTGGTAATCCTCAGTGGTTGGTAGTTTAGCCAGTCGACTTCGCCAATTCTGGCTAATGTGTTAGTTATTTGTGATATTGTCTATCTTACAACTCGGGTGAGTGCGTTTGTTTCAAGGAAATAGGGTTTCTGGATACTAGCAGCTATCACATCACAAGGCAGGAGTTTGGTTAATTATAATGCGATAACAACCACGTGAAAATGTAAGTGCTAAGAGAAGGTAATTGTTTCAAGGATAATTAAACAGGTTGAATGGTTGGTAACGAATAAGATGACGGGATTTAGAGAGTAAGAGAAAAAACGGAGATGAAAATGAGGGAGATAGGAAGTAGTTTCTGCTATGTGATAATGATAACAGTGATCATATATGAAAACTACATCAGAAACAGATATCTCAAGATAAAGACAGTAATCCTTGAGTGCTTACGTGTTTGTCAAGTCTCCCCCTAAAGCTATCCACTAATGGATGTTTGCTCTTTGGTGTACAGTTTTTGAGGGTTGCCTCGAGGAGCGCTGTGGTGGTGGTGGCCTGTCAACATGCTCGTGTTGAGGCGACTTGGCATACTTAATATTTTATGTGCCACTGACAAATCACGTTTTATTCCCCTGTAGCTCAACAAGAATAATCCTAGATGTTGAAAACCGTTTTCGTAAGATGTATGTTTTATCCTTGCTTGCTTGTCCCTGTACATGGTCTAAGATATTTATATCTATTTTGGAAATAGGACGTGCAACAATACTGCGGGAACTGTAGAGCCGTGCGTACGTTTTAAACAATTTCAAGAACAAATCCGAGGTGGTTACGCCAATTTGTCCTCGCACAAAGTGGTGAGTCTTGTCTGTATACTCAATGTGGTTTGAGCTGGTGTCTACGCTCTACGTGGTCACTAGACATACTATTCAAACTGACGAGACAGTCGAGAGCAGATTTCTGTGAAAGACACAAGTTCTTTGTGTTGGATGAGGCAGAATTTTCATGACATGACATCTTGAAAGGTTACGTTTGGACTCAGTGTCCTCTGGCCATTTTCCCCACTGTTGTAAGGTACTTTCGAAGCTCAAGTGAATCCTTTCCGCTTTGTTATGAACTTCAAAATCTTTGCATCGTCTGCATAAATTAGTGACGATCAGCTTATTGTATCTAACAGGTCATTTGGTAAACGTCAGGAAGAGGAGTGGACCTAAGATCATTGTTTGTTGAAACCATCCAACTTGTGTGCACTATATTAATTTTGGTACGGAACATCTAGTTCTGTAGGTAGTTTTGGAGCCAAGATAGAAATAGGCTAGTAGAACTAATCGCTAAAACATTTTCTGAGCACTAAATGCGTAAATGCGTCAAAAACGTTTGAGACGTTGAGAAATAATTCATGAACCAGCATATGTTCGTCCAAGCAGGTTGTCCAGCTCTCCCATGTTATGGAGAGACTAGACGTGTACGACCTGTCTTTACTGAACCCATGTTGGACATTACGGATGACATTATTTTTATCCATGTACTCTACCATTAATTCATTGGTCGGTCCTTCCATTAACTTCAACAGTACTAGAAGTAATACTGCTGATAAAAATCATACTGGGTCTTCTCTATCTTCTTTATGAAAATCGGAGAGAAGGTAGCCTATTTCAATCCTCCAAATAGTTAATGTGACTTTAATAAGCGCCTGAAAATGTCACATATCAGTGCGCTGGTGGCTTCCAGGCAGTGTTTCAGGAATGTGGGGCAGATGTCGTCAAATTCTGGTGACTTTTCTGGATGTTGGGATTTTAGTTTCACCAATACTAATCCGCAAGATGGTTGAAAATTTCCCACAACCTCAACGGGCATTTATTCATTTATTTATTTGCACACATACATATTGGTACAAGAGGGCACCAAATACAATGGGAATTTGGAGAGAAGAAAAAAAAGTAAGGAGCGTAAGAAAACAGTAACGTGCAGATTAGTGTAAGGTAGTGTAATAATAATAATAGAGGAAACGAAAAGGTACAACCAGAAGAAATCTTTCAGTTAAGGAGGAAGCAACCACTTTTTATGAAGAAAGTAAAAAAGGTTACAACAGGATCGCCACTGGCTCCTATTCTGAGACATATCTGACAACGTCTCTAGCCACTGTGTTGCACCATCTCTCGAACCCCAAACAGGGAGTCGAGAAGAACCGACAGAAGCTAGCCCTTTGCAGCTTTCTCTCATACCACAACACCATGTCATATACTGACCACCTCTCCGCTTTTTCCAACCAGTCTCAGCGTCGGCAAATAATGCACGACGTGAAATTCTCCGGGACGACATTCGTAGAACAAGTCCAAGTCACCGAAGTCGATGTTTCAAGATGGTGACATCGACTGCATTATCGCCTCTGCGCCCGAACACACGATGCCGAACCTCTGCATTACTGACATGGAGTTGCCACTGGATGTCAGCAATCCTTCGGAGACAACGATGATCAAACACAGAAAGTTTTCTAACGTCCTCAACTCGGAGAGGCCAGGTTTAGAATCCTGTCAGTCTTATAGAAGTACTTTGCACTTCGAAAGCGCAAAGCACATACCATACCTACGTCATTAGAACTGAGAAGTGTTCCGCGCTTGCGGAGTCTTGATTTAACTGGTCGATGAAGTTTGCTTTACAGTTCTCTGCCATCTTTTGGTTGGTAGAGTCCTCACCATCAGGCATTTTAAGCGCACAGATGCCCTGAACTGTAAGTTTCCCTTCAGTCATAAACCTGCAGAAATATATAGGGTTAGTTCGTATTTTGGTTGCTACGTCGACCTGAAAACGCTTCTTATATTGCTGGACTTACATGTTGCATCTATTTTTCAATGTCAGTTGAGTGCTACAATCAGAATCAATTAAGGAAACTTTCTACTTGTCCCTCCTCTTTAAATTCTCGTTGTTTTCTGTGGCACATATATATTTGGCGCACTCTTGTACCAATATTTATGTGTCCGAATATAATAAATAAATAAATAAAGGCTCTTTATTTTGCTTCCTACAAGTGCTCTGTGCTTCTTGTAGCCCGGGATATTTCACTGGGTTGTAATTTTGCTTAAGGTATGTGGTGTAGGATCGCATTCTGAACTAAATCTTTTACTATCTCTCAGTGGTCACTCGTTGTTAACCTCTACCAGTCTCGTGGCCATGGGGTGCATTGAAGACACTCCCTCATCATCGTGTAGTCTGCTCTTGTGTAGCTAAGGTAGATGGCTTACTCATCCCTCCAAAGCACGTCGTTTTTGGCCATTTTAAACATAACCGTATCACGGTCGCTATTTCCTAGCGGTGCGTGGACAAGTATTTCCTTAACTATGAACTCACTATTTTTGTGTAATTAATCCATATTTTAGGGTTTTCGGTCTATATCCAACCTAATTATGGGAAATCATGGCGAATTTCAGCTAAGGAAGCAGTCTGAGAACCGAGTGTGAGTGTATTAGTTGCTATAATTTCCCATAATCAAGGAAAACTCCGATCAACAGAATCCAGGCACCAAGTAATACACAGTTCACCAATTCGTCTAAGCAAAAAACTAAGTTGACTTGAGATAAACCTTCATGAACATAAGACGTATTTTGAAGTGCCTGGGACTGCTTCGAAAACAAGAAAATGTATTTGAAATTTTCGTAAATTTATCACAGTAATAACTTAATTTCATGAGACCTTGAAATTTACTGGTGTTCATTTAAAATTGGCGATGCGGCGTGTTATTGACATTTAGCGTTGCCCATAGCCACAAATTAAATTCTTCCCTATTTCATGTTCAGGAGCTTTTACAAATTTATTGGCACGAACACGTTGCATTAGATGTAAAGTGAGGTTTTATTAGTGTCACCATGGTGCACCTAGTAAAGTGTCGATTATTAACTATTACTAATACGAAAAATGCAGCATTCAACTGTCTTTTTGTATGTTTAGTATAGTTCTTAGTTGCTGTGTGTGTTTCCACGCTTATTCAAATTGCTCTTAACTGTTTTTCGATGAGGTCTGCGGTCTTGCCAGATAATTGTCACTATAAACTTATAAATTTACCGAATTTCTGTGTGAAAAGTGAATTGATTAAAAAATTGTTTGTCTAGATAAACTGGTGGACTACCTAGTAATAATAATGATCGAAATCTGGTGGACAATCAATGCACTTAGCAAGGTTTTTGAATAAACCTATCTTAATTCGTGATTTTAATACACAATTATGCTTACGTACTCGACTAGATTTGCAATTTATATCACCCTTAAACTGTATTACTTTGTAACCTACTGACAAATACTTGGAAGTCTCAGTGTTACTGAATATGGACAACCCTGAAATACTTGCTAAACAAGTCTACTGTTTCTTGTCTACTCATATGGTCGAAACGGACTAACCGTTACGAAAAAAAGGGATTTCATTAAAAGTCAATCTCCCCGTTTCATAATTACATAAAACTAGTTAGTACTTTCGGCTGCCAGTTTTTTCTATGTTATATTCTGACAAACGTGTTTAACTAACTGCTGTATTATCTTTTTGTTGCTACACAACATAAGACTCTGTCCTGGTAAATAATTCGATTGGTGTGCAACTCCTTGCAAAACACAACTAGGCCTTAGTGGTTCGACTTTCAGGTTTGGATTTTGCAAAAATTATCTCAGATGATTAGTACTTAGTGTAGGAACCAAAGACATCAATTTCAAAACGTTTACAAAACAGTATATATTAACCTTCCAAAAGTTGAAGGAAGTATGAAGCAGAACGACCCTTCGCAAGATGGATCAAAAGGCATATTAAAGATTTTAGCTACTACTTCTCTGAATCTTCCTTAGTATGTCTAATTCATAGTTAAGACAAGGACTTCAATTTTTTCCCGTAGTCCTGGTGAGTGCAAATAAGAATAGAACAAATTTCGAAAAGTGTATCTTTATCGAAACTCTAATATCCTGGAAAACCTACTCTGTAGTTAGTCGGACCTTCGAACTAATCCTTTCTCGCTGTATCATATATGACCTTCAAATGACCTGGTACGGCCGAGGGTGGATAGAGTCGGCTCTCCCTCTCCAAATGCTCTCACATGGCCACACGTATACAGCCACTTCAATGGGAGTTCTACTCACTGCCCTCTTGAGGTGATAGTGTTGTCTACGAAATTGAGAGGACGGGGAGCGAATATCCGGCGCTTTAACAGAGTTGGCGGATACGGAGAGTCCCTAGGGGTTGTTGGAAAACTCTGATATGAGCTCCAGGACTCTAGAAGAATAAATGGTGCATGAACCTATTGTTGGTGACCAAATACAATGGGACCTCATCACTTAACGTCGCTCACTTCCTTGTGGATTAGACTTCTTAGTAAAAGGACTGAGGAGTGGCTTCAAGAAAATTAACTGCATCAGTTTTGGGCACCCGGGGAGTATCACACCCCATACACAAATCAAGTTGCTTGTGTGTCGTATATGTATTCGGTGCTCCTTTGTAGCAATATTTGTGTTGAACTAAATATAAATAATATTTATATGTATTACTACCATTGAAGTAACTGCTTCTATGGACTTAGTGTTCATCTTGTGCTAATGAGGTAATGAAAACTTGAACCACTGTATATATGTGCCTGGTCCTTCGTTGTAGCTGACTGACTGGCTAGTTGAACATAATAAATCTCAGATACTTGTGACTGATATCCTCGATAAAAAGCATTCCCTTAACTTTTCGGCACCTAGATTTTCCACAAACAGGTTTGTATCAACAGTTTCGATGGTATTTTCACTAATTACCTATTTTTTTTTAACTCAACCAAACAATCCAGCTTGTCAAATAACTGTTTCGTACGATTAATGTACTTAGTTTTCCACTCTTAAAAATCCAAAAACAAAAAGATGGATGAGTTTTTTTTACCTGAAATAAACACTAGACAGTATCACAATTAATGCTTAGAAGCCTGCGTAGCCATGTCTCAAAATCCATGTCAGTGACACATATTCACACTCAACCTTCATTTAAATTCCAAAATTTGCCTATACTCCACTATATTATTCTTTTTTCCCGTTCACATTTTCTCCTAGTCTTGTTTTTCTCTGATTAAGGCTTTTGTTTTCATTGTTCAGATATTCATCCTTTTGATTTCTCGTTTCGATGATATAGAATGTGACAACTTGGACCAATACTTCAGTTTCGTCGTTGTTTATAGATAACTAATTAAACCAAAATCTAAACAATACAAGAATTTAGTAATGTTTCTTGGAATTGCAACGTCATTCGAACGTAAAGAAATACCTAATTAACTGATTTTTTCACACAATACTGAAAACATAATTCTATGCGTCTAGTACAGTAAAATTATACTTTGCTCAGTCAAAAGACCAGTAAGCAGTATAAAGAAAACCCAGTAAATGAACTTTGTAGCTTTTGAAAAGATAAAGCTTAGTGTGATCGTTGAGTTAGGTAAAATTGCATAAGCCGTAAGTAATAAAGAGTTCGACTGATTGCAATGTATCGAGAGTGCTAATAGTTTGTTTATCCACAAAGAGTCCAATTGAACGATAATGATTTCCTCAGTTAAACTATGAGGTGTTATCAAAGGCCGTCTATTCAGTTTTGTCTTAGCCACTATTTGTGTTTGCTTGTATCATCTTAAAATGACAGATTCAAAATCTATTACCTGTTTAATAAGTATGTGTAGTGTGACGTGGTTGCTTCACTTATTACTATCATTATCGTGCATTCGATCCTGTTATTCTGTCTTTTAGATTGTTGGATCTACGTCCAGATAGTGCATGTTATGAAATAACTATATTCCTGAGTAGAGCAAATACAAGCTACGTCTATGAAATAATAAACATCGCTTACTTACATGCTGTTGATTTAATTCATTAAAGCTCCTTAACTTACCGCTGACTACAACGGCAGTCAATTTTTTATATCTCGACTATAAGCTGTAAGAATATTATTCTTCCTGGTGTCAGTCATCTTGATTATAATTTATGATGGATCCTTCTAATCAACTAGATCTCAAGATCGGTCTGGATGGCATCAGTTGTACTGACTTCGTGAATGTTGGTGATAAGATTCTACTTGCAGTCGGGACATGTAATGGAAGAATTCGTATGTAAGTTAATTCTTATTGTAATACTTGACAGTATTTTAGATTTGATTACGTAGATCGAACAAAGGCGTTACTTCAGAAACGTTGGCATAAAACTATTCGATGCTTGTCTTTTTTCCCTAAAACTCAAAATTTATTAATTTCGGCTTCCAGTCAAAGTGGCTTAAAAGTACACGATGTGATTTCTGAAAAACAAACTTGGGCATGTTTTCAAGCTCATGAAAAATCACCAATATCTAGTGTTTTAGTTCTAGAACACGGACAGTGGGTTACAGGTGATGAAAATGGAATTATCAAAGTAATTCGTTGTCTTTTGTATACTTAACTTACATAACTTGATAGATTGGATTTTATTTGATTGCTGTGATTAAGTTTTATCAAATATAATTTATACAGCCGGTTAGAATTTGGCAAAAGAATAATTATTATAATGCTACTCAATAATCACTTACAGGTTCATGTGCAGGGTGAAACAGCGTCGTATTGTTCGTCTGGTTACCTAAGATCGAGGGTACAACGCGTCGGCGAGCGTGTTTCTACTTTACAATTATTAAAACTGGCCCATGTGAACTGAAAATGTTTGGGGACTAACGTGGCAACACCATGTTAATAGTATTAAGGTGTGGGAATTAAGATGCGGTCCAAAGTCAAATATATGAATAATAAATGAGTTACACTATGTTATAGAGTCACCCTTATTTCAGATCGAATTCTAGCAATCACGTTTTAGTGTATTCACTAACGCAGTTGATTTAATATTGCACTCTACGTTGGTATTAGGTGATTGAGAACAATATCAAAAAGCCTTAATATATATTTCGTACTGATTAACACTCACCAGCTAGGTGCGTATTCAGTTTTGTAGGAAATCAACCTCCGTGGGATTCAAACCAGTGTCACTCAGTATATATATATATTCCAAATACATTTTGCTAAGTATAAATCAACACAATATACATGTTCAGTGACTCTTCTTAATTCCGTCCAACTATCTAACACCTGTAGCTAAAGTAGTCGAGAAATTCGGTTGCTTAACCAGTTCTGATTGTGTATATAACCTTCAAACAACAAATGTTACTCAAAACTTAGTATGCTAAGTTATGTGTCGTAACCTGGTCGCTTCAGTTATCAGACATTTAGTTATTTGAACTCATAAATATTGATACAAAGGGGCAGCAAATACATATACGACACTCAAGTCACTTGATTTGTGTGACCACTGGGATACTGCTCGGGTACTCAAACCGAATCAGGTGGTTTTCTCAGGGGGTTACACCCCAAGCCTTCGGCCTAAAGGTTTGATCCACAAGACAGTAGAGGAGGGTCAGAAGATGCAGTTCCATGGTAGGTGGTTACCAGCATTTGGTTCATACACCATACGTCGCCTCAGGATCCTGGATCCCATGTGCATCATTGGTTTGGAATCAGGGTTTTCCAACTCCACTAGATGGGCTCTCCATGTCCACCAACCCGGTTAAAGCGCCAAATATTCACTTTCCGTCCTCTCAATTTCGTAAGCAACACCCGTGGTGCGAGAAGGCAGTGAGTAGGACTTCTCTGGTAATGACTGTACACGTGTGGGCATGTGAGAGCATTTTGAGAGGGAGCGCTAACTCTCCCCACCCTCGGCCGTACCAAGGCATCTATCTGTTTTCAAATGAAATAGGTTGTAGTACTGATAATGTATGGTTTTACGATACTATGTATTTATATGTATATGTGTGCATGTATTGTTTGTCTATTATTAGATGTGGGATGCAAGGAAGTCAGGTCCAGTTTCAGTCATGACTCCAGATATTGAAAATAAATTTGATGATTTTTTCAATTCTATCAATGAAATGGCCGTATCATCGAATGATTCTCATGGAACTTTGTTAGCCGCAGTTGATGATGGAACTTTAGCAGTGTATAATATACGACGTCGACGTTTTGAAATGTCTTCAGAAACACTTGGATTTAGTGCACGTACCTTAACTGTTGTTAAAGTAAGTAATTATTACAGAATATTTGTAAAAATTATTCTTGTATGAAATATGAAGTGGTGACCTCAGTAATTAAGGCGTTCATTTATTTGTTTATTTAAATACATAAACACTGGTATAAGGAGGCACCAAATATATATGCGCCACACTTCGTCATTCGATTTATGTGAGGGCTAGAATACTGCCTGGGCGCCCAAACCAAGACAGGTGGTTTTCTTAGGGAGCCACACCCTGTGCATTTGACCTAAAGATCTAATCCACAAGGCAGCGGCGCAACTTCAGGAGATGCAGTCCCATGGTAGCCGGTGATCAACGATAAGTTTATACGCCTCTTGTTCCATCAGGGCCCCCAAATGCTCTCACATGGCCACGCATATACAGCCATTGCCAGGGAAGGCCTAATCACTGCATTCTCGTGGCGCAGGTGTTGTTTACGAAATCGAGAGGACGGAAGGCGAATATGCGGTGGGCGCTTTAACTCGGTTGATGGATATGGAGGATCTATCTAGAGAAGTTGGAAAACCCTGATTCCAAACCAATAGTGCATATGGTCATTAGCTCGACCTCTGACCTTTTGACTGATTGACATCATTCATATGTGTTGACAAACTCTATGTATGTTGGCATGTTTTTTGGTCGCCAATCAGTCTAAATCCCGTACTCCTAGAAACTCTCTGATACTCTTGAAATTTCATAAATCTGGAATTTTGGCATGTTTCTCGTTTTCCAATGGTTGTCTATGCGAATTGATAATTACTGACGTCTCATGTCGCTTCACTGCTAGTACACCTTTCTATTCTCATACTAAGAAACTATGTCAAAGTTTATGAAGTTGTATCATGGTGTTTTCCCCATTTGTTAATGTCTTCTAACAGATTCCTTCGTAATTTCGAGAGATAAAGACAAAGTAGGAATTCAGTATTGTCTGTTAAATTCGTTCATTGTTTCCTATTTTCATCCCTCTATTACCTCGTCTTTTTTATGCATGTTACAATACACTACTTAGTGCTTATCAGTAACTACTTTTCTATGACTTGCATTCTTCATAGCAGGTGACATTTCTATGTGACCCACCAAAACATTTTGAGCTACAAATTCAACAGTATGATAAACAAATTTTCTGCCGTTTTCATTCCCTTTGTAATTGCATTCCGTTTTTCAAAATTTGTTTTTACCATATACGATCGATCCAACGTCATAACTGCTTTCTTTTGTGTGGGAGTTGGTTCACCATTGTAGAATCATAGAGTATCAGGTAGCTTTTTTGTTCTAGTATGTGACTCCTTAAAAGCACTCATTACTGACTCCTCTAGAAATCGAATTTCTAGACCTACAAGCCTCGCGGCTAGCGCCTAACCTTGTCCACTGAGTAGCTATCCAAATGTTTGCATTATTAACCTTAGTTATTTTTCGATATTATCCAACCATAATCCTTTGCCGTTAACGGTACGTGTCTCACCCCCACTCACGACACAGTTGAAAATTATTGGTCGTGGATCCTTACTGCAGCTTCGAGAATTTCCTCTTGGTTTCAGTCACCAGCGCTTACACGATCTCATGGTTGGTTTGGAAGGTTTGTGGAGATTGCTCATTATTCAGTTTGCATTCTTAATTCACTTTTCATTCACTCTTTGATTACATACCACACATTTGTTCATCGCCTTTTAGTTTCAAGATTTTACATTTAATTTGATCCGTCAGATTAAGATCTTCGGACCAATTACACGCTGTTATTTACTTAATTTTACAGCACACACTATTTAAGAAATGATAGAATAGTTGTTTTGAAGGGAGTTTTGTGGGTATGTATTTAAGTTTATAGGCTTCATTCTTTACCGATATGTCTCAGTTGGGGTGCCATTGAAAACGCGAGAGCAATGAATAGCTGTTCTCTCTTATTACGAGACTCTTCGGCAGTACACATCCACATTTCCATCAGGTATCGAACTCGGCATCTTCAGGTCTAACAATGAATATTTAACCATTAGAACCACTTAGGCTTCTGGGCCTTGTGGAACAATTTCAACCTCATATCAATTTCCAACATAGCACAACTATCATTTAGTACCAATTAGTGATGGCTGTTTCACTACAGATATTTCTAGACACTGGTCATGATCTTACTAAAAATTCAGAAACATTTTAAAACAAGTCACCAATGAGCTAACCGTTGTGGTTTTAGTTGAAGAGTTTTTTTAGATTGGTCTATGTCATATCTTGTGACCACCAATTAGGGAGCAGTGACTTACCGATCGGATCAATGACCCGTAAACCCGTACGAGCGGTCTAGAGTCCTTATTGGTTCTGCTTCCTGCCTAGCCCAGCCAGTTAAGTCCAGAACACCAATCTCAGCCTCTGTTATATGAATCATCATATTTCAAACATACTGAGTTTATATACCAATCAAACAGACCACATCGCACCAATAAAAGAGGAAACAACATTTGTACAAGATTTAGCCAAATGTGGCTGTGGATGAGGGGGGTAGTAATTAATAGACAGGGCATAATTCAAGAATGGTAAATGGTATAATAATAGCTTCGGTCTGGGCACCCGGGCAGTATCGCAGCCGTCACACATATCAAATGAGATATGTGTGGCGCATATGTATTTGGTGCCTCCTTGTACCAATATCTATGTGTTAAAATAAATAAATCATGGGTCAAAACAAAGCTCATAGTAAGTGGGACACATAACAACTATACAATAAAAATATACGTATAGTATTGGTCCATAATGGATCCCAAAAGTTACCATTAGATATCCGGGTTTTAAATTTTCCGAGTTTATCCTCCCTCGCGAAATAATGTTGGGCCCTCATATACCCAAGTTACAAGATACAACAGTCTGTTTTGTAGGTTCTATTCGTCACTTCTTGATTTCAGTTGGTGTTCCATCCTAGTATGAAGCTCTCCAGTAGTGCGCTTCAATGACTCACAACCGTTATTGATGCATGGAGATACAGTCGTAGGAGATGGGTTGGTATTGGCGATAAAAGGAATATCAAGAAGTGTTAAAGGGATTTAATCGTGAACAAGCGGATTTCCAGCGTTTTGTCATATTCTGCGCTACGTTTAACTGACCCACAATCATACAATGTTCATTATATTTGCCAGTTTCTAAATTTGGAATGTTCACTTTTTTATACCTCTAGAATAATACAAAAGTTCTTGTCGGTACCGATGAAGGTGTGATTTCTGTGTTCAGTTGGAATGAATTCGGAAATATATGCGATCGTTTCCCTATACATCCTCTTCGACCATCTAAACAAGGTCAGGCTAGAACAGCTGTTTCTGGTGGAAATTCTGTGGAGAAAATAGTCAAAATTACAGAAGATATTGTTGCAGTAGCCACTGATGATGGAGTTGTAAGGTGAGATTTTGTTTGTGTGTATTTGTGTATGAATGTGTACCTGTCTTCAGTGAATCATAGCTGGACAAATTGTTGATAAAAAGCGTATTTCAAATTAAACCACAAGGGATTACCCTCAACTATCTAGTATCGTTTTTTCCTTCTCTTTCAACCAGTTCAGTGTTTAACCCCAAGCGATAAAAGAGGAATTTCATATTCAGAGTCGTCAAATTCATAAAAAGACAATTAGTTATTACTCATAAATACATATTGACAACATATTTTTGGAAAAAAGCAAACATCTACGCTTCCTACAGACAATATTCATAAGTTATTCGTATTCGATAATAGGTTTCTTCAGTGGATTGATCGCGTGTGTTGAAGCCACTTGGTAAGCAATATTTGGATTAGAATCAGAGTACCAGCCATAGATAGCAAATCGTTTAATGAGATTATTGATCTTCAATTATTGGGGTGGACAAATCAATGAAATTAAAAATGATAAGTCCCTGAATTTTAGTGCGACATTCATTTATACATATGGTTATATAGCATTTCGGCATTATATTTGATGTCGATTCGTGATGGGAACCCTAACTTTTAGCTTTCAATCTTAATTATAATTCCTTATACTAATCTATAACCCCCTTCTGACCCCTAGTAAGTAGGTGGGTTCTCAAGGTCATTTTATTGTCTCTTAAAGGTTGTCCATAAATTATAGTCTCAACGAAAAACCACCTAGACATGGCTAAGTCAAGGCATAACATCATAAAGTCATTGACTCTTGATCTGATCCATGTTAGTAGGTTCACAATTATCGTGACTATTGGTTGGAGAAGACGTTAGGTGACAGCTCAGGACCATTAACCCTATATACCTCTAGCTTTGTTTCAAAATTGTTATTCACTTTTTATTTTACAGATCTATTATCTCTTCTTGAATCACAAAGTTTATATCTGATCCTTTCTATCACCACTGATATTATTACTTTTGTCACTCTGGTGCTCATCAACTGTGCTGATGTGATGTAACCTATACCGATGCTTATGTGACTGTTTCTATGTTCCTTCTAACTGACTGATTAACGAAGTTTTGAAATTTATTCCATGTATCTCAATTGTTTTCAAATAATTTTCACATAATTCTCCTTTTATAATTTAGTGCTATGCATATCCTACCAAATCGTTTGCTTGGATGTGTTGGATATCATATAGACACACCGAATAATGACACTAGCGGAGCAGATTGTATGACACTGTCTATTCATCCAACAGAGAATATTATTGCATCAACATTTCCGGCTAGTTCTTCAATCAAATTTTGGAATACATCTAAATTTATTGAACATGCTGAAAATGAAACTGCAGAACTTCGATTACCAAAAAATCAACGAAAATTACCAAGTACAAAACTTAAAGGTGTGAAATCACGACGTCTCTGTTTAACTGATGCCAATGAACGTATGGAATATCTTGAAGGTTTACTACCAGAAAAACAAAGTATATTATCTTCAAATGACTCTGAAAATTCTATATCACATGATGATAGTTCCTCAGACAGTAATGTGTAAGCTTGTAAATGATATGCTAAAATCACTTTTCAATTTAGTAAACCATTCATTTTTCATGTTTATAAAACATAGATTGTGATGTTTGTAAACTCTTTGATCTGGTTTCCTATGTTTACAGTACTATCCTACTCTTCTGTATAAGGTTCTATATCATCTTTAAATATCTGCGCATAGTTCACATATCTTCTTTTTGATAGACCTTTGTATTCTTTCACTTTCTTTAATTTTAAACTACTTTTGAGCATAGTGAAAAAACTCATTTCAAATGAATATCTTCAAAGAAATGTACATTTGTTATGAATGTATCATTGGACAACTGTATATTGTTTGTATAAGTTTGTCTTTCAATTGTTGGTCATCAGAATTTTCTACTGACAAATCGACTTTTCAATTGGTTATCGTTATGTATTACGTTTGCTTACATGTTTCAGTTCATACATTCATAGTAGGATCCACAGATATTCATTGGACTATCTTTAAATATAAGAATATTTGCTTCCCGAATTTAAGTGAATAAATAGGGGGTAGGGTTTTGTGAGCGAATAGTTTTAAATATGTTTGTAATTTAGAACGTCACTAGGAATTAGTGAGCCCCCAAATGCCCTGGTACGGTCAAGAGTGGGGAGAGTCAGCTGTCCCTCCCGAAATGCTCTCACATGGCCACGTGCATACAACTACTGTCAGAGAAGTTCTACTCACTGTCTTCTTGCAACGGAGGTGTTTTTACGAAACAAAGGACGAAAAGCGAATGTTCGGTGCTTGAAGCTGGTTGTTGTCAGAATCCGTTAATTATGCGTTTTAATGAGTGAAGTAGGTTTATCTGATGAACAGTCTTATTACAAGTTAATTTTCGACTTGCTTACTTACCTCTTACCAGTCGATGTTGTAAGATCCTTCCAGTGTGTATATATTTACAAATCTAATAAATAAGTTCCTTGCAGTAGAATTTCTTTGTTACGCTCTTAAACACATGATGTTACTTCTTTGAAATCACGAACTGATCTAAGTCAGTCCACCATTGAACATTAAGTACTGGGTGGGTGCTTCGTCCTAGCAGGCAACTTATCATTAGTGCACTCCCATAACCCCACACGCTGGAATCAAACATCGGACCTTCGGTCCCGCGCGAACGCTTAATCTACAAGCCTCTGAACAGGCATCCAACGGTGTTATTGTTCAACTTCAATCAATCACCGTAACCTCGGTGTATTTGAGTATATTTCGTTTATCCTTGCTTTGTTTGCAATTATTATTTTCGTTATATGTGTGATCAGCTCTTTGACGTCGTTAGGGATTTTGCTTACTATTTCTATATTGTCCTACTTAGTATTGCCTTTTAGTCGTCATCATAAATTACTGTCCTTTACTTGCCCTTGTGTGAACGGATTGATTTTATTCTGTATCGCTGATACTGAAACGTGTTCTCTGTTTGTTAGGAGCACTTGTTGTTGGTAATCGGCAATTAGTTTTATAATCCTTACATTTCATGTGTAATTCTTATTTTATAGTTTATTACTCACTTGTTTAATCCGCTTCGCTTATTCCCATGACGCGAAATAAGAACACCAAGACTGGTACAAGTGAAGATTTATTAAATCCAATGCACAATGACCCTAGTCGAAAATGTACCCATCCACATATTGATTGTTCACCTATTCGGACTATCAATTAGAATAAAATCGCATATATGAAAAGTACTCAGCGTCACAACAAAATTACTTACTGCCTATCATGCTGAGCTTAGTTGACATTAATTTGATAGAAAGAATATCGTATCTTGAATAAACATCACACTTAAATAAATTAACGTTATACCGAAGGAAATATCACACTAGATAAATAAATGTTATTCTGAATATTCGTCTTATTGAGTTGAAAAACGGATGTGGAGCAGGAATCACAATGAGTTGAAAATGTGAAGTCGCCTTTTCGTCCCGTTGCGTCACTATTCTTTTTCTTTTGCTATAATGTTCCTTGATCGATAAGAACATTCGCTCTATTGTGACTAGTAACCAGTTAAAATTTTGCCGATTTTATTCGCTTAAGGTATGGCATCTGAGTTTTATCAAGTGTTGATATAATTAATGTCTATACATGATGAAGGAAAATATTCTTCAGATATATTTTATCTATTTTATAATTACAATAACACCGATGGCCGCTCAGTGTTCTAGAGGTTAGCCGTTCGCACGTGAGATCGGTGTTTCTGTTTTCGATTCCCACTTGCGAGGTTTTGGATACGCACTTATTAGGAGTCCCACCCCAGGATAAAATGACCATCCAGTGCTTGGAGGTTTTTAGTATTGGTTAAACATTGGTCGGTTCATCACTTCAGTGAAGCTCAGCAATCTCCATGACCTTGTACAAGTAATTATATTTATTTATTTGATACCACACATTAACCATTTTCTGCGATGTTCTATGGGAAAATCATTGTCCGTTATTGTTTTGGTGCACATTTGGATCAAACTGCTTCATTGAACCACTCTCCGGTACTACCAAGAATTTAGGGGTTTACAGGTGTAAAACTTTGAAATTAGCTACAGAGGTTTAAGGTATCTTTTCCAAACAGCTTACGAAATTGCTAGGGCATCCATTTACGCCAAAGGCAAACCTAATGACGTATGTATATTCCAACTATATTATTGTTCTACCTGTAAGCTATTCTGATGTTTCATTATGAGGAATCCTATTTCGCTATATTCAAAGTTTGTCTGTCGTAACGTAGCTTCGATAAATGAAACTACCATTTAGGTAACACTGAGTTTTTTGAACGTATCACAGATTGATGAAACAGCGTTCATTCGTCCAGTGCTTTAAGGTATTCAGTGGTGGTTTATCTTAAACCCACGTGCAAATTCAACTGCGAAAATACAATTTTTATACAAGTATTGTGAGGTACTACAGAACCTGTGAATATTCTCTACTGATATCTATCTAGGCCATTCGTTACAGGTTTATATCACTTGTAAACAAGGGATCTAAAAACATTTAATATTTATGAAGTTTGCGGCTATGTCGGTGAGGAGCAAAAAAATTGTTGCATGAAAGTAATTTTTAAAACCACGTCTAAAGTTTATAGGTCATGAGTCTCACTATCACTGAGATACCTATATAACGAAAGAGCATTTAGATATTGATAATTGGGCATAGGCTGTTCAGTGAGCAGTCTATCTTTGTATTTCCTACAAGTAAAACGTCTCAATATTCCGCAGAACACTAAGCTCGACAAACAATATTCTGGTAATTAGTTTAGTAGTAGAACAATACAATCTGAATACTGTATTTCCTAGTATTCTGGAGTGGCACAAAAGAGATCTCTTGCACGATCGCTTCTGTGCAATTTTATGTCCCGAAGTGTGATATATTCTACTCACCATCTAGCTTTTCTCACTGTAGAGGCGAGTCAATTTTGGCGCAAAATTCGTTCATACATACGGCTAAATAGCGTTTTGGAATTATAGTTGATGTCAGTTCGCAATGAAACAGTAACTCTGAGTCCTAACCTTAACGTCCAACTCTAAATTCGAATGCTAACTCCATGCACTAATCTTTAACCCTAGTAAGTAGGTGAATATTCTCAGTATTTTTAATGTTGCTCATAGGTCGTTCATAAACTATAGTCTCACCAAAAAATCCCGTGATTTAGTACGTTATTCATAAATCTATTCACACTGACGCGAACGCATTCGTGGATCGTGTGTATCATTATCGTTTCATTGTCTCTCTCTAATGTTGGTCATGCATCAGCTGTTATACAAGACAGTGGTTAAACCGATCAAGATCGATCCTGGACTCCGTTGCGCTACCTCTTAGACTTATGTAATTAACAGGTATTATGCATTGCAACTTGAGCGTTGTCAAGTTCTGAGTAACCCTTGAGACTGTCATGACCATATTATGGTCAGGTGACAGACTGAATCATAAATACGTTTATGGCTGCTCTGAGAGGCGCCTTTGCAACTTCTTCATATGGTTCAGGTTTTGCTGAAAATATCTGGACTTGTCTCTTGATAATTGTGTCTAAAATGAAGTCTAGAAAGAAACCAGAAATCTTGATAATTATAAAGACACTACATTCAGGGGCTTGGCCTTCATTAACTTAGACATTATGGAAACCATTGAAATAATTTCGGTAGATAACTAAACTAATCCTATGTTAGAAACACAAATGATCTGAATAGTCAATGTCAAAGGTGGATTGAAAATAAAATTGTTAATCCTAAGGCTGCATATCACTACCACTGCAACCTTGTGTCTAGAATAATGCCATTAGAACACAACCACAATTATTAATTGCTTCAAAACACCAAGACACAAGCACAAAGAAATCAACTAACTAGTCAGAATAGTTGGTCCTAAAAAGATGCCTCGAAGTCTTTATCCATTCACTAAGTGAGCTGTCACAATATGCCTTAGATTCTAAGAAACTACCTATTGGGTTGAAATCAGCGAACTTGTCTCAAATCTCTAGAAAAGAAAAGAAGTAGTACAAACTGATACAAGCCTATATGCCTGCTTAAACCACTCTCGAAATGCTAGAATGTTTAATGGGTGATCATCCTGGAACACCTGAAATGAGTTCAAGAAATTTGTGGGAATGCACCACTCACAGATTCATCCAAAGAGTTTGATAGTGTATTAAAATCTATCACACTGAAAAAAGATTAAATCAGGGTTTCAGATCCACCTGTATGTCTTTATCTGATATTTACCAAAGCCCCATACAGGGACATCTACTGACACCAATGTTTATCACTAAACTTTACTCATCAAACCTTAGTTTCTTAGCTCCTCTCCACCTGGAAGACTTTAAACTGTGAAAAGCAGTCAGATGTAAAGCTTATAAACACAATCTAAGTAGATTTAGCAATACTGGAGAAATTGGCACTCAAAAAACGTCTAACACCACATCTCTGAAACTATCGAACCATTATAATTCAAACGATATGGAAGCATCATGTCGAACTTCTTATCTGAGGTTATCGCCTCTGCAGTATATCAATCAGGTGCAATTTAGGCTTATCGCCACAAGAAAGCTTAGACATTAGCGGCAGCTGTCAAATAGATGAAGCTAAAGTCTACGCTGCTGCTCGCTCCGTAGCTAAGAGTTCAGAAGCACCAGGTCTTTTCGAAATTGCTCAAGACCTATATCGATTTGCGACTATAAATCTACAAAACTTTTGTACCCACTCTTCACAGAAAAAATAGAAATCTTATGGAACAAGTACACAGGGATGCCAAAATGTTAGTCATAGGATTAGAGGACAAACCTCAGGAAGACCCATAAAACCAGCTAGGAATATATTCACTAGGTTACAAGGTAACTTGAATCAATTTGACTATGACGCACAACACTGAGCACTTCCGTTTGCTTAA